TTTACACAATGGATGGAGAAAGAATTGGCCTTCTTTTTTAGAGAAAATAAAAAAGAAGATACTTCAATTCAGAATGTTTGGGACACAATGAAAGCATATGCTAGAGGCTTGATAATAGACTGAATAGAACTTATTTTTGAGTGGAGATAATAGAAACCAAGACTGAATCCGGAAGACATTCACAGGTTTTGACTGGCACGAGGTTTGTTCCAACATAGATCAATATCAACGCATCTAAACCTGGTTCTGATCTTTTGGCATCTACAGTGAAAAAGAAGTCGGACAGCTGATACTGAAAAACCATGCTGAAGACCTGGAAGAACAATTAAATATGGGTTCATTTAAAGCAACCTTAAATGTTGGTTATGTTTGTCACAAATACCAACCTTATGTTTAAAAATATCTGTGGAGCTTTGCCTTTAAAATCTTTTGTGGTTTAATGTTCTTTCCTCTGTAGTCCTTTCCTACTTAAGAGGTAGTCCTTGACTTACAACCATTTGTTTAGTGACCAATCAAAGTTACAACAGCAGAAATAAAAGTGACTGATGACCATTTTTCACACTTACAACCATTGCAACGTTCCCATTGTCACGCAATCAAAATCTGGGCACTTGGCAACCGGGTCATATTTATGAAAGTCGCAATGCGCTGGGATCACGTGATCACCTTTTTTCAACCTTCACTCAGCAACTGTGTTGCTAACTGAATGCCTGCAGTGATTCACTTAATGGCAGCAAGGAAGGTTGCAAAATGGAGCAAAACTCTCTTAACCACTGTTTTGCTCAGCCACAACCTTTTGGCCACAGTATTTATAAGTCAAGGACCACCTCCATTGGAAAGTTGCGTTAAAAGAATTGCCGTGGCAGAATATGAAACAAATCCTTTTTTTATTGCCCTTCACTTCCCTCTCCCACAAAAAAAGAGCCAGATAAAAGCAAATGTGAAAACTTTTAATAGGAAGAGGAGAAAGCGTACATCACAGCTTAATATTAAAAATCAGGTATGGAGACCTGGAAGATCCCCCAAAATTTAAGGAATCCAAGGTAGGGAATGGAAGTTTTCAACAGTGGGGAGAAAAGCCACTGCTGACATATAACCAGACTGGAAGAAGGAAATACCTTTCCTTCTAGAAAAAAGGCCAAACAGCCCTGATGGGGAGATTTTAGAAAGGGATGCTCTAGCCACCAGCCAAAGATTAAATTCAGGTTGGCCCCAAATTCATATAAAAAGGGGAAAGGAAAACTGGACTGGAAAATCCTTGCCACCCCATCTCCCCCAATATTTGTTTGAATAAGGAATGAAAGGCACCATCCAGGGATGGGATTCTACAGGTTCGGACCAGTTCTATAGAACCGGTTGTTATGATTTTGGCCAGGTCAGAGAACCAGCAAATCATGTCCCTGGCTGGCCCCTCCCCTCCCCGCCCAGTCAGTCCGCATCACGCATGCACGACATCACGCACATCGCTGACTGCATTCTCCCCCGCCTGCCCCGTCCAGTCACCCCTTACGGTATCTTTTTTCCCTCCTGACGATCAGCTGCTCTGACAATCAGCTGTGCCGGGATCCCCCTCACTGTCTTACTGCTTCACCCAGGAGGCCCCCCTGTGCTCCATTTTTTGCCTCAGGGAAGCTTCCTTGGAGCAAAAATGCCCCCCAGGAGGCTTCCCTGGGGCCCAGGAGGCTTCCCTGAGGCCCAGGAGGCCAAAAAACAGAGCACAGAGGGCTGCAAAAAAGAAAGCCATGCCCACCCAGTCACATGGCCATGCCCACCTAGCCACGCCCCACAGAACCAGTAGTAAAAATATTTGCATCCCACCCCTGGCACCATCCTCACTTTGTTCCCAGCCTCAATGAGCCTGTCAGGATTTCAAGCAAACTTAGCAACAGCCCAATCAGTCCCCAGAGCCTTGCGGTCCCGGGTGGAGTGATGATCCACCCAGAATAACAGCTGGTTGTTTAGAGCCAGTCCTGATCCCATTTCCCTGGAAGGGGAGAAGAAAAAGGATTTATCTACGTACACATTGAAAACAAAGTCGCCCTGACCCATCTTAAGCTTATACTCTACACCAGGGGTGTCAAACTGGATTTCTTCGAGGGCCAGATCAGCATTGTTCTCCACCGGGGGCCGGCCGGGGGTGGGGGGGCAGGAAGCGGGGGTAGGGAGACATGATGGACACTTCCTGCAGCACTTTGGTGGCCAAAAACAGGCCATGTGGACACTGTGGACTGGTCCTTTGATATTTCCAGGCCAGCCCCACGGGCCAGATTTAAGCACCCCGCGGGCCAGATCTGGCCCGTGGGCCTTGAGTTTGACACCCCTGGTCTACACAAACTAGAAAGGCGTACGTTCTCTATCTGTGCCCTTTTTAGAATACAAATTAACGATTTCTCATAAACTGCAAGCAGTGTGCATTAATTAATAATTAATAAACAGAGCCATGGTGGCGCAGTGGTTAGAATGCAGTCCTTCAGGGCTAATTCACTGCTCACTCCAGGAGTTCAATTCTGAACAAGGATGACTCAGCCTTCCATCCTTCCGAGGTCGGTAAAATGGTCCCACTCTAATCAGCTAATTAAGCCATAACACCTGCAAAGGGTTCCTGAGCCTTTAAATGGTCTCTCAGTCTGGTTCAGCAGGAATCACAATCATGGGAAAGACCGCTGACCTGACAGTTGTGGAGAAAACCATCATTGACACCCTCTGTAAGGAGAGAAAGCCTCAAAAGGTAATTGCAAAAGAAGTTGGATGTTCCCAAAGTGCTGTATCAAAGCACATAAATAGAAAGTTACGTGGAAGGGAAAAGTGTGGAAGAAAAAGGTGCACAAGCAGCAGGGATGACTGCAGCCTGGAGAGGATTGTTAGGAAAAGGCCATTCAAAAGTGTTGGGGACTTTCCCAAGGAGTGGACTGAGGCTGGAGTCAGTACATTAAGAGCCACCACACACAGACGGATCCTGGACATGGGCTTCAAATGTGGTATTCCTCTTGTCAAGCCGCTCCTGAACAACAAACAAACGTCAGAAGCGTCTTACTTGGGCTAAAGAAAAATAGAACTGGGCTGTTGCTCAGTGGTCCACAGTCCTCTTTTCTGATGAAAGCAACTTTTGCATCTCATTTGGAAACCAAGGACCCAGAGTCTGGAGGAAGGATGGAGAGGCACACACTGCAAGATGCTTGAAGTCCAGCGTGAAGTTTCCACAGTCTGTGTTGATTTGGGGAACCATGTCATCTGCTGGTGTTGGTCCACTGTGCTTCATTAAGTCCAGAGTCAACGCAGCCGTCTACCAGGATATTTTGGAGCACTTCATGCTTCCTTCCGCAGACGAGTTTTATGGGGATGCTGACTTCATTTTCCAGCAGGACTTGGCACCTGCCTACACTGCCAAAAGCACCAAAACCTGGTTCAATGACCATGGGATTACTGTGCTTGATTGGCCAGCAAATTCACCTGACCTGCACCCCATAGAGAATCTATGGGGCATTGCCAAGAGAAAGATGAGAGACATGAGACCGAACAATGCGGAAGAGCTAAAGGCCTCTATTGAAGCATCCTCAGCAGTGCCACAGGCTGATAGCTTCCATGCCATGCCGCATTGAGGCAGTAATTGCTGCAAAAGGGGCCCAAACCAAGTACTAAGTACATATGCATGCTTATACTTTTCAGAGGTCCGATATTGTTCTATGTACAATCCTTGTTTTATTGATTGCATGTAATATTCTAATTTTCTGAGATTGTGGATTTGGGGTTTTCATGAGCTGTAAGCCATAATCATCACAATTATGACAAATCATGGCTTGAACTATCTTGCTTTGCATGTAATGAGTCTATCTCATATATTAGTTTCACCTTTTAAGTTGCATTACTGAAATAAATGAACTTTTGCACGATATTCTAATTTTTTGAGTTTCACCTGTATTTGTAGCTCCTTTCCTTCTCCTACAGAATAGAATAAACAGAATACAATACAATACAACACAACACAACACAACACAACACAACACAACACAATATGGAAGAATAGAATAGAATGGGATGGGATGGAATGGAATGGAATAACAGAACAGAACAGATTTCTTTATTGGTCAAATGTGATTGGACACACAAGAAATTTGTCTTTGGTGCATATGCTCTCAGTGTACATAAAAAAAATACATTCATCAAGAATCGTAAGATACATAAAGATACATAAAAACACATTCATCAAGAATCATAAGATACTACACTTAGTGATAGTCATAGGATACTAAATAAGCAATCAAATCATACTAGGAAACTAAATAAAACAATATAAATCGTAAAAATAAAAGTAACAATCTAGACAGATTTTTACTCCAAAACATTTTATTAAAATAAATTTGATCAAAATAAAAAAAAAATCTGATTAAAATTTTTAAAAATCTGATTAAAAAAAAAAACATCTCTCAGCCTCTTTCTTCTGCTTCTCTTTCTGGCTGCCATAGTGACGGGGGGAGGGAGGATAAATTGGGCTTTGAGGGGGAAAAGTGCTGGAGGCTTGAGTTGGTGAAATGTAAAATTTGGGAAAACTTTCTTGTTTATGCTTACTTGCTTACTGCGCAGCTGCAGCATCTATCCAGGCCAAGGTCAACGGCCAGATATCTGAATCACCACCTGACGATGCCCCACATGACATTATACACATCTCAGATTGAATGGCCAGTTTGAACTGTTGTGGATGGGAACGTTGCCATAACTTTGTATATGTGATTTTTGCACCTAATGCCTCAGATCTTGAATTCTTTTGATGCTACCACTTGATTTCCAGTAAAAGTCCTTTTTTCTATAACAATGGAGTCTAATGGTTTCTTTCTTGGATTTTGAATGGAGCCTCACCTGACACCACCGATCGTTATCCACCCTGACTGCAGCCATGTAAAGATGCTTTTGATTGAAGGAACTGCAGACAGTCTGACATGCTTTGATTGATAGGCCTTCGATGGGTGGGCAGGAAGGAAAAAAACAGAAGAAAGGAATCAACTTTACCTTTTATCGCCAATGAGCATGATCACCATGTGAGGACTGGAATGCTGTCGAGCGTCTTCTAACGAGGCATACAAATGGTTGAAAGTTTCCCGCCTGTGAAAAGTGAAGAAAAAAACATCAAAAGTCAAGCTGAAGGTGAAAATGATCAAAGCTTGAGAAGATTATAGCTTCCTGGAGAAACATCCTCTCCAACCCTCTTTGTCCCCAGAACCTGCACTGGAGTGGAGAGGGGATTGGAGAGGAGTGTCGCTTCCATTGTCACTTGACATTCAGAATCCCTGAGGGGAAAAAGTCTCTCAGATAAAGGGTGTGAGACCCCAGGTCTGCTCAAACCCTTCCTTGTTCCCTTCCTTCATGCTTTTCAAAGCAATATCAATTAAGATAAGAAGCATTGGCCATGGCTGCTGGGCGGAAATCAAATAAGTGGGACACCTGTTCAAAAGCTACTCCACCCCTTTGTAAGTTTGTAGAGTTTGGGTGGAATCTTCTAAAACTTGGCTGCGAGTGCCACACAGAGGAAAAAGTCTTGCAAATGAAGGGTGCGAGACCTCCAGGACTACTTAAAGCTTTTCCTTCTCCCCTTTACTTTGCAAGTTTGAAAGCAATATCAAAAGAATTAAATGAGATAATAAGCATTGGCCATTCCATGCAGGCATGGAAACCAATTAAACCTATAAAGATGAGGGGATCAAATTATTTTCCAAAGCCTCAAAAGGCAAGATGAGAACTAATGGATGGAAATTAACCATGGAAAGAAGCAACCTAGAACTGACAGTTAGAAAAACTAATCCATTTCCTGACAGTTAGAACAACTAATCATGGGAAGGCTTGCCTTCAGAAGTTGTGGGTGCTCCATCACTGGAGGCTTTCAAAAAGAGACTGGACAAACATTTATCTGAAATGGTATACAGTCCCCTGCTCGAGCAGGGGGTTGGACTAGAAGACCTCCAAGGTTCCTTTCAACTCTGTTATTCGCAATAGCACTTAGACTTCTATACTGCTTCACAGTGCTTTTACAGCCCTCTCTAAGCGGTTTACAGAGTCAACCTATTGCCCCCAACAAGCTGGGTTCTCATTTTACCCACCTCGGAAAGATGGAAGGCTGAGTCAACCTTGAGCCTAGTGAGATTCGAACTGCCAAATTGCAGGCAGCCGGCAGTCAGCAGAAGTGACCTGCAGTACTGCATTCTAATCACTGCGCCATCATGACTCATTCTATGTTCTAAGCTGAAAACTTGTTGGAAAACTATGCCACCCCTTTGTAGAGTTCGGGTGGAATCTTCTAAGGCCTGGATGCCAGTGCCACACAGAACCTACTTCTGGTTGCTGCCAAGGCAAGCAGAGTGAATGAGATAGCTTTCTATTTATCAGTTTTTCCTATTTGGACTGCTGTCTGGATGTGCTGGTCTCCCCTTGCAAGATTCCCAGGCATTGTTCTGGAAACTGGATATCAACTCATTGGGAGAGCACCTGACTGTAGGGGAGAAAACACCAGGACAGAAGAGAAACCTTTTCCTTGTCTCCATATCTGTTTCTACAGTTCCAAAAGATCATGGCGGAGAGGAACATCAGGCATAAGAATTAATTCACTTGTCTAACAGAAGGTAGTGTGAGAAAGATGCAGGAAATCGTAGATTAGATTAGATTAGATTAGATTAGATTAGAGTAGAGTAGAGTAGAGTAGAGTAGAGTAGAGTAGAGTAGAAAGAAAGAAAGAAAGAAAGAAAGAAAGAAAGAAAGAAAGAAAGATAAGAAAAGAAAAGAAAATAATTCTTTATTGGTCAAGTGTGATTGGACACACAAGGAATTTGTCTTGGTGCATATGCTCTCAGTGTACATAAAAGAAAAGTTACATTCATCAAGAGTCAAGAATCATAAGGTACAACACTTAATAATAGTCATGGGATACCAATAAGCAATCAAATCATACTAGGAAACAGTCAATAAAAATCGTTAGGATACAAGCAACAAGGTTACAGTCATACAGTCACAAGTGGGAGGAGATGGGTGATAGGAATGATGAGAAGATTAATAGTAATAGTAATGCAGACTTAGTAAATAGTTGGACAGTGTTGTGGGAATTAGTTGTTTAGCAGAGTGATGGCGTTCTGGAAAAAGCTGTTCTTGTGTCTAGTTGTTCTGGTGTGCAATGCTCTATAGCGTTGTTTTGAGGGTAGGAGTTGAAACAGTTTATGTCCAGGATGTGAGGGGTCTGTAAATATTTTCACAGCCCTCTTTTTGACTCGTGCAGTATACAGGTCCTCAATGGAAGGCACGTTGGTAGTAATTGTTTTTTCTGCAGTCCTAATTACTCTCTGAAGTCTGTGTCTGTCTTGTTGAGTTGCAGAACCAAACCAGACAGCTATAGAGTGGAGTGAAGTGGAGAAAAGTAGAGTGGAATGGGAATGGGAATGGGAATGGGAATGGGAATGGGAATGGGAATGGAATGGAATGGAATGGAATGGAATGGAATGGAATGGAATGGAATGGAATAGAATAGAATAGAATAGAATAGAATAGAATAGAATAGAATAGAATAGAATAGAACAGAACAGAACAGCTTTATTTGGCCAAGTGTGATTAGATACACAAGAATTTGTCGATGGTGCAGAAGCTCTCAGTATACATGCAAAGCAACCTAATAAAGAAGTACATGACATGGGACACAGAAGAAGGGCCTTTTCTGTGGTGGCTCCCTCGCTCTGGAACATCATCCCTGTGGAGATTAGACTGGCCCACAATTTGACACTCTTTTGCAAGGCCCTAGTTTTGCCAACAACCCTGGGGAACCCAGAATGTGATGGAGCCCATCAAGGGCCCTGTTAGATTGCTGCTTGTCACCAAGGGGTGGGGAGTTATTGTTTGTACTCTTTGTACATTGGGATTTTTATCTTTTGCCAGCCACTTAAGAGTCCCTGAAATTGAATGGCTGGCCGCGTAAATTCTCTAAATCAATCAATAAATTGGCCTATTTAGGGAATGTTAGTTTCACCCATCTCTATCCCAGGGGTGTCAAACTCGATTTCATTGAGGGCTGTATCAGGGTTGTGTTTGACCTTGGAGGGCTGGGGTGAGTGGGCATGGCCGGGGGCAGGCATGCCCATGATGCGCGTGACTTGACCTGTGCTAAGGCACAACTTCCCTGGCACCCTCTCTCTCATTATAACCTTCCTTCCTTCCTTCCTTCCTTCCTTCCTTCCTTCCTTCCTTCCTTTCCCTTCCCTCTTCATTCTCCTTTTTTCTTCCTTCCCCTCTTTCCTTCATTTTCCTTCCTTGTTCTATCCCAGTGTTGGTGACCTTTTTGGGCACCAAGTGCTGAAACAGGAGCGTGTGCATGCATGTGGGGGAGCACTGAAAACCAAAAGAGCAGCTCCCCGGCAGACATGCGTGTGCCGGAAAGCTGAGCTTCTGGTTTCTGGCACGCCACCTGCTCTTCTGGTTTCTGGCGCTCCCGTGTGCACAAAGACTAGCTGGCTGGCACGCATGCATGTGTCGGAACCCGGAAGTACAATGCGCGATGGCTGGCGTGCCCGGAGAGATGGCTTTGCATACTGTTCCATATTAAACAGGCTTGAAACCCTGTATTCCTATTGGACTACAAAGTGAACTATCTGATTGGACAGCCAGACGGTTGTGATTGGTTCGCTGAGAGCCTACCGCGATTGGATGAAACCAATTGCGGGAAACTCAAAGCGATGTCATTGGCAGCCCAAGGCACGGCTAGCTCTATAAAAAGAGCCGCCGCGAGCGCTTTCGACTCACTCAGATTTAGCCTGTAATAAAGAGCTGTTGTTCACTTATTCTGAGTCTCTCGTCTCTATGAGCCGAACCTTCCAGACTTAACACTGACGACGAAGGTGGGATAGAGAAGACAACGAGACAATTCAGCACGTGGCAAACAGCGCGAAACAACCATCAAAATGGCCAGCAACGCCACGCCACCTGCACCCTTTAATCTGGCCACAGAGGACTGGGAGACCTACATCGACCGGTTCCAGATGTTTTTGGAATGCAGCAACCTGAAAGACGCCAATGGCAACCGGAAATGGGCTGTATTCCTATCACAACTGCGGGCCCGCCGTGTTTAAAATGGCCAAGGCTTTGGCGAAACCCGCAGACGTCAAGACGATGGATTGGGACGACCTCGCACCCATCCTCCGAAACCACTACACTCCGGCTGTGCCCACCCTCATTCGCCGGCACGACTTTTACCAAAGAGACCAGCACGAGGGTGAGAGCATTAGCGAATTCATGGCCAATCTAAGGGACCTTGGAGGGTTGTGCGGATTCACCGACCTAGAAGAGGCCATGCGAGACCGGGTCATCCTCGGCCTAAAAGACCCCACACTACAAAGCAAGTTGATGGCAAAGGGCAGCATCTTCCTCGCCGACACCATAGCTGAAGCAACGGCAGCAGAAGCCACCCGCAAGTCAGCGGCTCGAATGCGGCGATCAAATGGAACCGGCCGCCATCCTGTCAGCGAGATGGCTCCAACACTGGAGAAACACACCACCTCCACCCACCACGGCAACATCGAATCCCCCTATGACAGCGACTATGAGGAGGAAGAGATCCACCGGCTCCAGTCGGAACGCGATCAACGGGACCGGTGGGGTCGTAAGTCAGGATTCCAGTGCGCCGGATGTGGAGGCAATCACCCCCGCTCTGAATACCGTTTTCTTGACGCCGTTTGTCGGCATTGTGAGAAGCGGGGGCACATTGCAAACGTTTGCCGAAATAAACACAACCACAGCCCCCGGCGTCAAGGCGGCAGCCCTAGACGATGAGACGGCACCCCCCCAAGCATCGGGATCGCCAGACTGACAGCCAATGGAGCCAAGACGGCCGGACCAAACGATTCAGCGAGGCACCGCGGAAAGAAGAAACCCATCAAACGGTTGTCATCGGCCATTCTTCAACCATAGACGCCCGAAAGGTACGCGTAATGGTGAACATCGAAGACCAACCGTGCACCATGGAGGTAGATTCTGGATCTTACCTCTCCATGGTCTCATGGCACACCATCGAACGCCTAATACCCAGCATTTGCCGACATGAGTTGAGCGACCAAAAACTGACCCTCAGAGACTACCAGGGGAACCGCATCCCCGTAGCTGGCATCGGGCATTTCAAAATCACTTTCAAAGGCGACACCAACATACTGCCACTCACAATCGTGGACAAGGACCGCCCCAGCCTGCTCGGGCTACAATGGTTCACACCTCTCGGAATAGAAATGGCAGGCATCCACCACACAACCGAAGAAGATTGGGAAGCAACGCTCACACGAGATTTCCAAGAGGTCTTCGACGACACCTTAGGAAAGTACAAGGGGTCCACAATCTCCTTCAACCTCAGCCCAGACGTCACCCCCATCCGTCTCAAGCCGTGACGAGTGCCTTTTGCGCTCAAACCCAAAATCGGCGAGCAACTTAATAAGCTCATCGCACAAGGGGTTTTAGAGCCTATTGACCATGCCTGCTGGGAAACACCTATAGTCACCCCTATCAAGCCAGATGGCTCCATAAGAATCTGTGGGGACTATAAGGCCACCCTCAACCACGCCCTACAGCAAAGTGCCTACCCCGTGTCAGTAGTGCAACACCTCCTACACTCACTGGGGGGTGGCCGGGTCTTTGCAAAGCTCGACCTGGCACAAGCCTATCAACAGCTGCCGGTTGATGCAGAAACCGCCGAGGCACAGACAATCGTAACCCACCGGGGGGCATTTAAATGCAACCGCCTCCAATTCGGCGTCAGCGTTGCGCCCGGGGTTTTTCAAAGCCTCATGGAAAGGCTGTTACAAGGAATTAAGGGAGTCGTGCCGTATTTTGATGATGTGTTAGTGGCGGCAGCCAATAAAAAACAACTTGAAAAACGCCTAAGGGAAGTACTCCAGAAATTTAAAGACTCTGGCCGGAAGGTTAAAAAAGAAAAATGCCAACTTTGCACTGAGAGGGTTGAATTCTTGGGGTACCTCCTTGACAAACACGGAATTCACCCCACCGAAAAAAAACTTAAAGCCATCAAGGAAGCCCCCAGACCAAAAAACAAGACAGAGCTCCAGGCATTTCTTGGACTCATTAACTTTTATAATGTTTTCCTACCCAAAAAGGCGACCGTGGCGGAACCATTGCATAGACTGTTGGACAAAACCGCTTCCTGGACATGGGGAAAACGGGAGGAAAGCGCTTTCCAACAAACCAAAGACCTCTTAACTTCCGACGCAGTCCTCATCCAATACAACGAAACCCTACCGCTTACAATCACATGCAACGCATCGCCCTTTGGAGTAGGGGCAATTCTCAGTCATACCCTGCCAAACGGGAACAAGGCGCCCATTGCCTTCTTTTCACGAACCCTGTCCAAACCAGAAAGAAACTACAGCCAGTTGGACAAGGAAGCCCTAGCGATCGTTTCCGGAGTGAAAAGGTTCCACAAATACGTTTACGGTAGGACCTTTCCTATCATTACTGATCACAAACCCCTGCTTGGCATACTGGCTGGCAACAAGGTCACCCCAAACATCCTCTTGCCTAGAATGACTAGATGGTCTGAGTTCCTGGCCGCCTATAATTATCAGCTCACTCACCGACCCCGTAAAGACATTCTGCACGCTGATGCCTTAAGCCGCTCCCCCCTCCCAGACGTGCAAGACGACCCAGCACCCACAATACCGATTCTTCAAATAGAAACCTTACCCAGCCCCCTCCTGACCGCGCTAGACATTGCCCGCGAAACAAAAAGAGACAAGTGGCTGGAGCGAGTCCTGACCTGGATTGAGCGGGGTTGGCCAGAAACCGACAAAACTGAACTGTTTAAAGCTTTTAGGACCTGGCAAACCGAACTTTTCTCGCAAAAGGGGTGCATACTTTGGGGAGACTGGGTGGTAATACCAGAAGCCTTACAAAAGCGAGTGTTGGACATGTTGCACGAAGGGCACCCGGGCATCGTCCGAATGAAAGCTTTGGTGGCCAGGCATGGACAAGCAAATAGAAACATGGGTAGCCGCGTGCAACAGATGCCAACTAACTCGATCCGCCCCCCCCACAGCCCCACCCTTGGAATGGGAAACCCCCAGGGGCCCCTGGTCGCGGATCCACATAGATTTCACTGGCCCCACCAAAGGACACACCTTTCTAATCACCGTAGATGCTTATTCCAATTGGCTGGAAGTTAGCACCATGAAAACAACAACTACTGAAGCCGTCATAGCCAAACTCAACAAACTCTTTGCCACACATGGTCTGCCAGACGTTCTGGTGTCCGACAACGGACCACAGTTCACAGCGTTGGCGTTTGAACAATACCTAGCCAACCGTGGCATCAGACACGCATTAACATCGCCCGTACACCCAGCGGCGAATGGGCGGGTGGAACGAATGGTTCAATTCACCAAGAAAACCATACAAAAATTAGAAGATGGCAACATTCAGGAAAAAAATAATAAAATACTGCTTATCCAACACATCACGCCAAATACCACCACAAACAAATGCCCAGTGGAATTACTCATGGGCAGAAGACTCCGGTCAGCACTAGACCGTTTACACCCCACCTACAATCCAGAAAACCCCCCTGGCTCCACCAGCCAACACCGCACTTTTACCATCGGCGACACTGTCTTTGCAAACAATTTTACTGGAGACCCTCTTTGGGTACCTGCGGGAATCACCCAGATAACTGCCCCCCGGTCATACCGCCTAGAAACAACCGATGGATGAAGCTGGAAGCGACACATCGACCAGTTAAGGTCACAGCTTGCCAGCACACCCCTCACAGACAGCAATAAAGAAATCAGGGGGGGGGGGACCTCAAACATTGAAAAAGGAAAATTATTAACCGATACAGAAAAAACCCCAAGCAGAAACCAAATAATAAACCAACCATACTCACCTGCAAACACAGAACCAATGCGGACGGGTACTTCACCTGGAAGAAGCAGCCGAGCAAGCTCAACTGGCCCAGAGAATCCAGGCAGGAGCAGCAGAGCGAACGACTCGACCAACCCAGGCGAACCAGGCGGGAGTCGCAGCTATAGGCCCGGCTCACCCTTCCAGGCGGTTCCATCGAGGCACTTGGGAGCGACGTGGAGCCCGTCCGAACCAGGCAACGACCAGAGACAGACTGAAACGCGCAGGTCAAGTAGGCAGGTCCCAAGACCCGCCTGTCTACGCGACGTCACCCTGCCCCTTGGGTGAAACCAAGAGGGGAGGGGTGTTCCATATTAAACAGGCTTGAAACCCTGCATTCCTATTGGACTACAAAGTGAACTATCTGATTGGACAGCCAGACGGTTGTGATTGGTTCGCTGAGAGCCTACCGCGATTGGATGAAACCAATCGCAGGAAACTCAAAGTGATGTCATTGGCAGCCCAAGCCGTGGCTAGCTCTATAAAAAGAGCCGCCGCGAGCGCTTTTGACTCACTCAGATTTAGCCTGTAATAAAGAGCTGTTGTTCACTTATTCTGAGTCTCTCGTCTCTATGAGCCCGACCTTCCAGACTTAACACATACCACTTCTGGCACGCATGCCATAGGTTTGCCATCACGGCTCTATCCAATAATTCCGGCAGATTAACGGGATGACCTGCAAGGACCTGACGACCATCAATGGTCCTCCAAACCAAAACATTGGGAACCACCAGGCTAAACAATTAAACCTGATCCTGATTCATGTCTAGGTTTTGCGTTGCGGTTGGGCCTCACCTGGTGATGTCATAGACCAAGAGCGCCCCAGCTGTTCCTCAGTAATACAAGTGGGTGATCGAACTGAAGGATTCCTGGCCAGCCTTTGGAGCAAAAGAGAAGCACACAAAAACTACACATCAGGCCTAAAGAGTGAGCCAAATGGCACCACACCTTGGTGTGGAGGTGGGATGGTAGCTGGGATCAACTGCTCCTTGCTCCTCCTGGCCAGTCCAGTCCCATTCAATCTGTCTCTTCTACACGCTCAACCAATCCCCCACAAAAGGCTTCTGGGGTTCCTCACCATATCCCAAATCTGCAGTTTGATCTTTTTGTTTTCAATGGTAATCATCCGTGCCCCAAACTCCACACCTGGTGGGGAAATGGAAGACAAAGAGATTTGACGGGGACCAGGCTCAGTGGACTGGACTCCCACTTGTACCCCTTTCTTGGCATGATCCCCAAACATTAACACAGACCAGGGTGAGGAAGGGGAAGGCAGGAATTGCGGGGGGGAGGGGATCTAGAGAAAGGCGGGAAGGAACAGAATATAGTTTGTGAAATTAACAGTCCAACAAGCAGAGGTGCAAGAACAAAAGAAGTAATAACTACAGAAACTCGGGATATTCTATATTCTACTCTATATTACATTCCATCCTCCTCTCCTCTCCTCGCCTCTCCTCTCCCCTCCCCTCCCCTCCCCTCCTCTTCTATTCTTATTCTGTCATCATATCCTATCCTAACCTATCCTCTGCTATCCTTAGAAAATTTTAAAATGATCTTCTCCCGATGGATTGCCTGTATTTCTCATGTTCTATCTATCTTGGTAGTCTTGACTTATGACAACCATTGAGCCCAAAATTTATCTTGCTAAGAGAGATGCTTGTTAAGTGAGTCATAAGTCACTTTTTTCAGTGCTGTAAAACAACAGGCCCCAACCTTTAAGCTTGGTGGCCTAACCTGGTGTGAGGGAAAAGGAGTGTGAGAGGCAGGCCCGTGCACTTGCACACACTTCCATTTGTCCAAATGGGGCACATGTCCTCGTGCGAATGGATGGTGCTTTGTGCACAAGTGGAGGGTACTTGTGCTCATGCATGAATTCATGTGAATGGAGCTTTGCCATGAGCTCAAGTGTTTTCCACTCACGTGATAGGAGCTTCACACGCACACGCTTGCCCATTTCTCTCACAGCCCAGTTTCGAATAGGCTGCTGCCTGGTAATGGACCGTGGCCTCGGGGTTGGGGACCCCTGCTGTAGTAACTTCAGTCACTAAACAAACTGTTGTAAGTTGAGGACTATCTTATAATATTTATATATATTGTGTGTACATCTATCTATCCTATCTATCTATCTATCATCTATCCATCTCTCTGTGTATCAATCTATTTATCATTTCTATCATCTATCCATCACACTCTCGCGCTCTCTCTGTACCTATCTATCCTATCCTATCCTGTCCATCTATCCATCCATCCATTTTTTTTTCTTCAATTCAATTGTGTCCGATTTTCAAAAATGGTCTGGGCAAGTCTTTGCAATTTTTCTTGGCAAATTTTTCCCCAAAGTGGTTTGCCACTGCCTTCTTCTTCCTATGGCTGAGAGAAAGTGACTGCACCAATGTCATCCAGCTGGCTTTGTGCCAAAATTGGAACTAGAACTCACATTCTAGTCACCTCCTAGTGAAATGGACATCAAATAAATTTAAAAAATTCTCCTGTTTTCTAGCCTGATGCTATAACCACAACACCAAGCTGATTATCCATATTGTATCTACTGTATATTCCATCTACTGTATATTCTAAGGAAGTTGGAACATGGAACCTTTGTCTATATGAGTTTTAACCCCACTGTGTATATTCTTAGTACTGTAATAATAACACAGTGACTTTTCTCTCCATAGGGCATCTACAGGTAGCTAAGCACAATTCCAACAATTATGGTTCCCCAAGACTCACAGAGCCATCTGGCTTTGATTCTCACCGATTGTCAAATCATGAACAGCCATAAACCATTTATCTGTGAACTGTAGCAAGAGGCATGATTTCCCGACACTTAAAAAAAAAGATAAAATATTATTGTAAACTCCTATGCTAAAAAAAGAGATTTGTGTCTAACTTAAGCATTCTAGGGAACAATTTACGGATGCATTTATACTCTTTATAGGTGCAAACTATACCTGTTTATCTTTATAATCCCTCAGCATTTAATAAACCCTATTTTCCTGAGATAGAGGAGTGGATCCTAAATGATAGAATAATTAAAAGTGTATTAGGATTTACTGAATGCACACTCTGGAAATTCTCTTTTTGCTGTCTTTCTGCATATTAGATATTCGCACTCTTTTGCGCCTTCTAAACACTATTTTCCTTTGAAGTAAGTCATAAAGAGTTCCTCTTTAAGAGAGATAAGCAGTCCATAATTGTGATAGAGATAGATAGATAGACAGACAGACAGACAGACAGACAGATAGCAACAAATAACTGGAGTTTCTAAAAATGGAAGTCAAATTAGCAATAGGAAAAAAGCAACTCTGATCAACCCAATTTGCCTACAATACAGATAGTCCTCGACTTAGTGACTGTTCAAAGTTACAACAGCCCTGAAAAAAAGTGACTTAGGACCATTTTTCAGTTACGACCTTTCAAGCATCCCCCCGTGATCATGTGATCAAAATTCAGGTGCTTGGCAACTAGTTCACACTTATGACCATGGCTGTGTCCCAGGGTCAGGCGATCCCCTTTTGTGACCTTCTGACAAGCAAAGTCAGTGGGGAAGCCAGATTCACTTAACAACTGGGTTACTGACATGTCAGCTTCAGTGATTCACTTAAACAACTGTGGCAAGAGTTACCGTAAAACCGGGCAAAACTCACTTAACAAATATCTCACTTAACAACAGAAAATTGGGGCTTAGTTGGGGTCATAAGTCGAGGACAACCTGAACTTCCTTGAGAGGCAAATGGACTCCCAAAGAAGTTTCCTGAGTCTTCATCTTGCTTTCCATCCCATAATATTCTCTCAACAAAAGATTTGGAGAAGTGTTTTTCAAACTTGGGAATTTTTAAGACGGTTGAACTTCAATTCCCAGAACTGAAGCCCACCCTTTTTTTAAAGCTTTCCAATTTGAAAAGCACCAGTACAGAGTAATTTCTTGCCACAGTTGTTAAGTGAATCATTTGCACCACGACAAATTCCTTGTGTGTCCAATCACACTTGGCCAATAAAGTATTCTTCTTCTTAAATGGGTAACCTGGTTGGTTAAGTGAATCTGGCTTCCCTGTTGACTTTCCTTGTCAGGAGGTCACAAAAGGTGAAAACACAACCTAGGGACACTACAACCATCCTAAATACACACCAGTTGATTTTATTATATATGATTCTCTCTTTTATGAGTTTTATTGTTTTTATATGATGTTTTTATATTCTTGTAAGCCACCTTGAGTCGACATGTGCAAATAGGCAATATAAATCTCCTAAATAAATAAATAGACCACATTTTGATCACGTGACCATGGAAATGGTCATAAGTGTGAAAGTGTGACAAATGGTCATAAGTCACTTTTTCCAGAGCTGTTATAACTTCAAAAGGTCACTAAATGAATGGTTGTAAGTCGAGGACTACCTGCAATGGGAGAAGCCAGGCTTTCAAATAACTGAACTATATATAGAAGAGGGAGTCAAGCTATTCTCCAAAGCTCCTGAGGGCAGGACAAGAAGCAATGGATGGAAACTAATCAAGGAGAGAAGCAACCTAGAACTAAAGAGAAATTTCCTGACAGTGAGAACAATAATCAAGAATTGATGGAAAAAATCCATATTGAAAAAGGAACAAGGCACGGGGGGCCTTTATCACCATTGTTGTTTGTATTAACGTTAGAAGTATTAAATAGAACTATCAGAAAAGATTAGATAAAAGGGATGGAAATAAGAAAAGAGGAGTATAATTTGCAGGCATTTGCAGATGATCTAGTTTTTATATTAGAAGAACCTTTAGGAACAGGACCCAAGCTGATAAATAGAATAGAAGATTATGGGAAAATGGCAGGATTGAAAATAAACAAAGGGAAAACTAAGATATTGGTAAAAAAAACATGACAGAGAAACAAAATAAAGAACTGACAGAGTATATAGATATTCAGATAGTAAAGAAAGTTAAATATCTAGGAATTCAATTGACTGGAAGATGTGGAACAATTAAAGATAATTATTATAAACTTAAATAACAAATTAAGACAGTTAGAAAAATGGAGTAATATGCAGTTATCATTAACAGGAAGGATTGCGGTGATTAAGATGAACATATTACCCAAAGTGTTGTATTTGTTCCAAACAATTCTGATAAAAATTAGAAAAAAATATTTTGAAGATATCAATAAAACAGTATGGAAATATATATGGCAAGGGAAGAAAGCAAGAATTAATGTAAAAATATTACAGGATGCTAGAACTAGAGGTGGATTTGGGTTACCTAATTGGGAAATAAATTATCAGGCCATGGCATTAACTTGGATGAAAGAGTGAATAACATTGAGGAATAAAAGGTTAGTAACGTTGGAAGGGCATGATTTGCAAATGGGTTGGCATGCATTTTTGTGATATGGGAGAAGCAAAGTACATGGGTACTTTCAAAGGCATATGGTCAGAAATTCACAGTTACGTGTATGGGAAAAAACTAGAGAACAACATTACATGAAGATGCCAGTCTGGTTATCAACAATGGAAGCACTTATACACCCAAATGTTTGTAAAATGGGAATTATTACTAGATATAAAAATATTTTAAATGAAAAGTGTGAGCTCAAAACAAAACAAGAATTGAATGAACAAGGGTTAGAAATGTATTAGTATTCGTATACGCAAATACAATCAAGGTATGAAAAAGATATCAAAGCCGAAGGGATTAGTAAGGAATTGACAGAATTGGATAAAATATTAACAGGAACAGAAAATAAGCTGATTAAAAGATTATATTGTTATTTATTAGGTGTTAAATTAGAAGGAGAACAAGTTAAAGAAACAATGATAGCATGGGCAAAAATTTTTGGATATGCCATAGAACTAGACAAATGGCAGAAGATGTGGGACAGAAACTATAAATTAACAATATCGACAGCATATAAAGAAAATTTGTACTAGATGTTTTATAGATGGCACTTATCACCGGCAAAATTAGCTAAAATGTTTAAAGATAAATCAGCCAAATGCTGGAAGTGTCATCAAACACCGGGGACATATTACCATATGTGGTGGTTTTATATAGAAGCTAAAAGACATTGGACAAAAATACATAGTTGGAAAAAATGATAAAACAACACATAGATTTGAAACCTGAAATATTTTTATTAGGAATGGTACCTGAAGGTTACAGTAAAGAAAAAACATATTTAATTATATATGTATGAACAGCAGCTAGAATTGTATTTGCTCAGAATTGGAAAAGCGATAAGATACCGATAGAGGGAAAAGTAATTGAGAAAATATTTGAATGTGCAGAAATGAATAGACTAACATTGGTAACTAAAGAAAAAGAAGAAACAGAATATTATATGGTATGGGATTTATTTTATCAATGGTTAGAAAATAAAACAAATTAAACTGAATTAGATGAATATACACTGCTCAAAAAAATAAAGGGAACACTTAAACAACACAATGTAACTCCAAGTCAATCACACTTCTGTGAAATCAAACTGTCCACTTAGGTAGCAACACTGATTGACAATCAATTTCACATGCTGTTGTGCAAATGGAATAGACAACAGGTGGAAAGCAGAGGCAGTTAGCAAGACATCCCCAATAAAGGAGTGGTTCTGCAGGTGGTGACCACAGACCACTTCTCAGTTCCTATGCTTTCTGGCTGATGGTTTGGTCACTTCTGAATGCTGGCGGTGCTTTCACTCTAGTGGTAACATGAGACGGAGTCTACAACCCACACAAGCGGCTCAGGTAGTGCAGCTCATCTAGGATGGCACATCAATGCGAGCTGTGGCAAGAAGGTTTGCTGTGTCTGTCAGCGTAGTGTCCAGAGCATGGAGACGCTACCAGGAGACAGGCCAGTACATCAGGAGATGTGGAGGAGGCCGTAGGAGGGCAACAACCCAGCATCAGGACCGCTACCTCCGCCTTTGTGCAAGAAGGGACAGGAGGAGCACTGCCAGAGCCCTGCAAAATGACCTCCAGCAGGCCACAAATGTGCATGTGGCTGCTCAAACGGTCAGAAACAGACTCCATGAGGGTGGTATGAGAGCCCGATGTCCCAGGTGGGGGTTGTGCTTACAGCCCAACACTGTGCAGGACGTTTGGCATTTGCCAGAGAACACCAAGATTGGCAAATTCGCCACTGGTGCCCTGTGCTCTTCACAGATGAAAGCAGGTTCACACTGAGCACATGTGACAGACGTGACAGGGTCTGGAGACGCCGTGGAGAATGTTCTGCTGCCTGCAACATCCTCCAGCATGACCGGTTTGGCAGTGGGTCAGTAAAGGTGTGGGATAGCATTTCTTTAGGGGGCCACACAGCCCTCCATGTGCTCGCCAGAGGTAGCCTGACTGCCATTAGGTACCGAGATGAGATCCTCAGACCCCTTGTGACACCATATGCTGGTGCGGTTGGCCCTGGGTTCCTCCTAATGCATGACAATGCTACACCTCATGTGACTGGAGTGTGTCAGCAGTTCCTACAAGACGAAGGCATTGATGCTATGGACTGGCCCGCCTGTTCCCCAGACCTGAATCCAATTGAGCACATCTGGGACATCATGTCTCGCTCCATCCACCAATGCCATGCTGAACCACAGACTGTCCAGGAGTTGGGGGATGCTTTCGTCCAAGTGTGGGAGGAGATCCCTCAGGAGACCATCCGCCACCTCATCAGGAGCATGCCCAGGCATTGTAGGGAGGTCATACAGGCACGTGGAGGCCACACACTATTGAGCCTCATTTTGACTTGTTTGAAGGACATTACATCAAAGTTGGATCAGCCTGTAGTGTTTTTTTTTCACTTTAATTTTGAGTATAACTCCAAATCCAGACCTCCATGGGTTGCTAAATTT